CTTCCGATCTTACAGCGGATATATGTCTCCAGAATACGCAATGGACGGACAATTCTCCGTGAAATCCGACGTGTATAGCTTCGGAGTTTTGATGTTAGAGATCGTAACAGGCAAGAAAAACAATGGCTTCTACGACGAAAACCCTTCTTCTAACCTGGTCGGACATGTAAGCATATACATTTCCACATCTACTTGCATGTTTCTCATGAACTCTTCGATTTTGGATGATCGAAATGTTTTTCACCGCGTAGGTTTGGGATTTATGGAACGAGGGAAAAGTTTCAAAGCTCGTAGACAAATCCATGGAAAAGACGGCGTGTAATGAAGAAGAAATCTCGAGGTTCATGCAAATAGGGTTGCTGTGCGTGCAAGAAAGCGCAACAGACAGGCCGACAATGTACACTGTGGTCTTCATGTTGGGTAATAACACAACGGTTCTTCCGTCTCCGAAGCATCCTGCGTTTACGATTAGGAAGAGAAGCAGCAGCAACAATGGCGGATCTGCTCCGTGGCCGAGTGGGGAAACCAGTGGTTCTGTGAACGATGTTACGATCACCATGGTGCATGGTCGCTAAGGATAATGAATATCACAAACATAGAAAGTTGTTATTGGTATATATTTGCTCAAGGAAATGTATATGTGCATGTCTAAATGCGGATGTTTTGATCAAATGGGTTTTTAGATTTGTATGAAACTTATGATTATTAATATGATTTGGGAGAATTATAAATTTATGGAATCATTGTGCAAATGATTATATATATATATATATATATATATATCATTTTCAAAATAGAGACACTTTGGGAAGACTAATAGCATTTATTATTATATCAAATATATCTCAAACTGTATTATAAGGACATTTTTTTATAATAGTCCAACTGTTTTCCTACGATTATACGAATTTTTTTTTTGCAAAACTACAAGTTGAGCAAGTATCTAAAACATCATTTATTTTAAAACAAAAAAATGACTCTAATGATCTAAAATTAAACGGAGGGCTTTTAACTAATTTTGTTTTGTAAAGATCGAAAAAAATGACAGATAGGATCTAAGACGTACAAAACAAATTATTAACTTTCAACCTATACAAGCGTATGCAATAATTATATTTTTTATACAGATAATATAACAATAATTTTTTAATAATTAAATTGTACATATATATATATATTTTTATATATCAAACAAATAATTTATATCTCAATTTTAATAATAAAAAATAATTGTATATCGTGGATCTCATTAACTAATTATCGATATTATTGGCCATTTTGAATTTCGGTTTGGGTTCGATTCGATTATATTCGGATTCGATTATTTCGATTATAGATTAATTATAACCATTCGGTCTTTATATAAGTTTCGTTTCGATTTGATTTCGGTTAAAATTTTATTTTTTTTAAAAAAATATCGATTTTTCGGTTATTTTTTTTATTTAGTTCGATTTTAGTTTTCTCGGTTATTGAAATGACTAGAATTCAAATTTTAACAAATTTAAAAATTTTGAAACTATAATATAAAGATAATTGAAAGTGCTCCTTAGTTAATATACATTTAAGATTTGATTTTTATATAATTGAAACAATATTTTATGTCTCCGCATCATTCGCTGCAAACAACAACGGATCCGACGCCGACAAGTTTTCTTTTGCGAGTTCGAGTTCTCGCAGTCCCAGCCATTCGGCGTCAACGCGCTTCCTCACATCCGCCTCGTGGGTCCTTCCACGGTTAATCACCGGGATGAATCCGGTCAGATGGACCGAGGGGATTACTCTCGTGTTTATTGTCGTACTCGCACTTCTCGTCAAGCCCTCTTCGGCGATATACTGTGGCGAAGACGATTGCTATGATCTTCTTGGGTTTCATCTCCAATCCTATTTTCTTTCGATTTTAATTCAGTTTCTTCCCTTTTCTCGTATTGATTTTTCTGTGGATTTTGCGGTTTCAGCGTGACACAGAGTGCGAATTCTTCGGAGATCAAGAAAGCTTACTACAAGCTCTCTCTGAAACAGTAAGATTTGTTGGTTCCTGATCTTGTTGATTGAATCCCACGGGTTTAATTTGTTTTGAGATTGTTGAGATTTGGTTTTGGTTGCTCATCTCCCTAATCTGTCTATCCATCGGGAAGCCACCCAGATAAGAATCCGGATCCGGAATCGAAGAAGCTGTTTGTCAAAATCGCCAATGCTTACGAGGTATCAATCTTGACTAATAAATCCCAATTCATATGAATGTGGATTTTACATAGTTCTTGGTGGATTTTGGTTTGGTGTGGAGCAGACAAGTTTATTGAATCGGATGCTAATCTTCAATGGCAACGAGTGGTTTGATAAGCTTTAGGACATTTACCTCTGACTAATCTCTCATTTGGAGAATCATTGGTTCTAAACACGCGAACTGCACTCTCAATGAGATATTTGTTTGATGAGATATTTGCCATGGATGCATGGTAAATCATTGGTTCTAAGCACACGAACTGTACTTCCGATAATGGGTTATGCCCAGTCAGAAGACGGTAGAAGGAATTTTTAAACTTTGGAGGTTCTATGTGTAGACACGCTTTGAGATTGGTTCGTGGGAAAGGGCATGTTTTGATGATCACTTGAAAGGAGAAAAGAGGTAGACAGAGACTGATCGGTTTGATGGTTAAGGATAGGAAAACCGGCGCAAGGCCTTCTCTTGATTATTAATCTTCTCTTGCACGTACGATGGTGTGAACAAATCATAGAAAGAATTGAATCTCTTTGCAGATTCTGAAAGATGAGGCTACTCGGGCACAATATGATTATGCGATTGAACATCCTGAAGAGGTTAGTAGAAAGCTTTGTTAGAAATGCCAATGCTATTGATTTTGCTTGTCTTCTTGTATTTTTGGTCTGACCAGCGAAATACCATTGTATGTCTCCTTATAGGTGTTTTACAACACAGCTCGATACTATCGTGCATACTATGGACACAAGACGGTAAGATATTGTTGATCGTTCATTAAACTTTTGAAAATAAGCTTGAAGTTTTAGCAAACGTTGATTTTCGATTTCCATATTTATTTCTAGGACCCCCGTGCTGTTCTGGTCGGTCTGTTCGTTATTCTTTCAGCATTTCAATACATGAACAGAGTGGCCAGGTATAATGAGGTATGTCATATATCTATATAGATATATGTTTTGATGTATCGGATGATATCCATAGCATCTTATGAAAGAGAGAACCAAACATGCATTATGTTATCAATTTACTTGAATGATATCTATTTATTGACATGGTAACAAATGTGAACACTGTGTAGCTATCTCCTGTTGAACAGTATTGCATAGTTATCAGTTCAAAATAATTCAATATAGCATACCAACAAACCCAAAATCTCGATCAAATTCAGGCTATAGCGATGGTAAAGCGGACTCCTGCTTACAAGAATAGGCTTAAGGCCTTGGAACTCGAACGCACCGGTGGAGTAACTAACAAGAAGAAGGGTCATAAGCAGATTGACAAGTATGTTCTGTTTGGTTCCTTCAACTAGCCGAATGAATCTTGACATCTAACTCTTTTATCTTTCCTGATGGATGCAATGATATTTTTGGTAGGAAACTGGAGGAAGAGCTAAGCAAAGAACTAGATCTACAGATCAAAGGTGCTGAAAAGCCGTCGTTCTGGGAACTTCTTGGCGTCCAATTTATCCTCCTTCCGTACACTCTCAGCAAGGTTTCATGATTTATTTCCGGATTTCATAGACACTTTTAGCTTTTTTGTACTGATATCTTGACACCACGGATCCGATTTCCGATTCTTCCAGCTGCTACTATGGTACAGTTGTTGGGTATGGAGATACAATGTGAAAAAAGCTCCGTATTCATGGGAAGACGCATCATACCTAACGCAGAAAGCCCTTAGGTTGCCTCCTGATGCATGGACTAATATCGGTAACTTCCATTCGAATTCATTTCACTCTCTCTCTCCATCTCACCCAACACCATGATTCTTAGACGCCCAAGTTTGATATGTTGTTACCAACGCGAATCTTGGGACGGTGATTATTGCCAGATGGATCTACAAAGGAAGATTTAGTGCGGAGACAGATGTGGGAGAAGCAGAATCTAGACAACTACTTTGCGGAACTGCGTAAAGAGTCAAAACGGAGAAGATAGGGTCAGTATAACTCTCCTTCACTCTAGAAATTCGAGAAAAATTCTTGGCTGCCTTTATGAGGTGATAAAAGAAATGATATGAACTACTTACAGAGGTGATATTTTCAGTTTTGGTATAGACGAAGACGATCATTCAAACATAATATGGTTTTGATCCCAACTTTGATGTGAATCTCAAGAACATAATGGAAGTCACTTCTATTGTGCAGCTAAAGATTGTACTGATGGCTTCACAACAAAGTCAAAACTCTTATGGTAAAACCATAGAAAAATAGAACAAAGAGAAGCATTACTCATTGTCTCTTCCCCCTCATTCTTCGGACCTTTCTTCTTTTCTCTGACTGTCCTCTTTCAGGGTTTCCACGGTGGGTCTTGGTCCTTATTACATTGTCCATGTGAGCTGCATGGTGTTTTAGTAGGCGTAGGCAAGAGACTTGAACTCTGGTCGGGATACCTAAAAACCATGTGTTCATCCACCGGTAGGATGGGCATGGATCTTGCAAGCAGGTTCAAGTTCAGATTTCAACTAGAGATTTTTCGTGTCTCGTGGGTATGTCCGGACCGGTGGGAAAGCTCGCTGCAAATGAGAGATGGTGAGTGGGAAGAGGAGGGGACGAGACGACGAACGCAGAGCGACCAAATGTAATATCGTTTTAGGGTTTTGATGTGTTAGGAATTCTGCCCTTGCCTCGTCCATTTTCCCTCCGTTGTCTCTACTGCTTGTTCCTCAGCCTTCGGGTTCGCCTCTTTGCGTCCCACGCCTCCTAACCCTCCTCAGCTCGTCCTCTCTTTCTTCCCCTACCTTCCCCTTGATCTCTCTCTTTCCTTGCCCACCCCCTCGTCTTGGCCTCACCCACACTCACCTCGCTCCTTCGGTTGTCCCATTCACCCTCCCATCACCTGTCTGGATACCCTGCTAGTACATGAGCATTTAGAACACCTTAAGAGTACATAAAACGTTTGGGACACCTTTTGAGTACTCTTCTCTCATAGGATCGAGATTGGATAGCCAACTTAGAAGCCCAAACCTGCACAATTGAGGTTCAATACATCGAAAAGCTCTAACTTACCTCTAATCTCAATCTTCAACCAAATAACATATATAACTGTAACCAAACCAATTTCGATGTAGAAACTGGATGATTATAATTTATTAAAGAAAGTGTGTATTCTTATCAACAAAAATCGAATCCAAAATGAAATAGAACCAAACTAATCAAACTGAATTCAATATAAAAATCAAATTGTTATAATTTTTCTAAAACCGAAATTGTGGAATCCGAATATAATCAAAGGAATCTGAACCAAAATCTGCAAAATGCGGGTTCTTACAATCGACGTCCGTACTCATCCCGTTGATCGGACGGGTACTCGCCACACCTCGGACTCTTGTGTCACCTCTATGTTCGCTTTCTTTTTTCCAAAGACTCCCTGTTTATGTTTCTCCTACCGAACCGGCCCACAATTGACAAATCTAATCTGTGATTAGTGGACCCTTTATTTTTTGTACGAAAATCGGTCTTGATTAGATTTGATTTTATTCGATATAGAGACATTAATTAAATAAGTAAACACTTGATCCCATCAAACCAAAAAATAAAGAGAATATTAAAAAATAAAATAAAATTACAAAAAACATTTCCAAAGAGTAAAAGAAAGGTCCAAAAAAAAAAAGACGAATTGCTCAGTTCCAGGGACTGATGCTACACTCCCAAGGTAGCTTAGGATACCTCTCACGATCCTGGCAGTAATCATATACGACGAGATTACGCTGCACCCAAGCGTAATCCATCTTCTGATCCTTAGATAAGTGCCACGCGTCATATTGGTCCCACCAGTTATCCGTTGTGGTGGAGACGCACGCAGGGTATGGATCCTCCCAGCGGCATCCGTCAACGGAGAAGTCCTTGTAGGAGGAAACAAACGGAGATTTCTTCCAGTCCGTTTTCTCGAGACCGCCACGTGTCGCCCAGTCGTCGGCGTTCCAGATGCTGGAGAACAAGTACATTGGTTTCTGGTTCGGAAAGAAGTCGTTGTTCGGTACTTTGTCGCTGTTCTTGTAAACCCTAATCGGTACTCTATCCACGAAGAACCTGTCCGGTTTAGACATCGAACCGGTTATCTTATTTTTTTAATCTAAAAACCGGTTATCTCATATATATATATATATTAGGGTTTAACTCTATTTAACGGTGGACATTTTGAATTTCGAATCAATTCAAAGCTCAGCTTGATTATTTTCGGGTTTAAGTTTTCGATTTTAAAAAAACTAAATCTATTAGATTTTATTTGATTCGATTTATTTTCGAGTTTGATGCTATTATTTTTTGTTTCGAAATTTTCTGTTCTATTCATTCGATTTTTATAAATAAAAATATTTATTTTAAAAAAATTCAGTTCATTCAATTATTTTATATATATTGGATTCGGATTTAAATTTCGGGTTGAGAAAAATTACGTATCGAATTCGTTCATATATATATATCGGTTTAAATTGATTCAGTAATTTATATAACCGAACTTAAACGCGTGCTTATATCGAGTGAGAGACTTACACAAGTTGGTGATTGTTCCAAAGGATGGAGTAAGTGTGGTAATCCTCCGTAGGATCAAACCATAGAGAATGTCGCATTTCCCTACCGCCGGTCCCGTTCTTGTACACATTGGTCTGTATGATGTACGGCTGTCCCGTCCTATTCCCTAGAAACTCGAAGTCGATCTCGTCCCTCTCCGGCCCCGCTCCGTTCTCCGAACACATCTGCAATGCAACGTCAATTTCGAACAACAAATATTTGAAAAAGATCGAAGTAACATCTTTACCTTAATTAACATATACAGCAACAACAAAAAAAGAAGCTCACATAGTAGGCGGTGACGACGCCGGCTGAGTCGCCGCCGACCAGCTTTAGGTTCATGCTGAACCATCCGAATCTGTAGCTATTCTTTGTCTGAAACCCACATCCTGTTTTTTTTTTACTCGAACCAAACGAAGATATAAGCATTGTGTTTCGTGCTTTTCAACATTTTTTTTTACTGTTTTACATTTAACTACGCCGTACAAAACTATACATTTTATTTTTAAAATTGAGTGGAATGTGAATGGGGAGAAGATTATTGGTCTAGTGATACAAGACATCATTTCCCATTACAATGTTAGTTTTGTATGAGTTTGAAAGGTTGCTAAATTATTAACAATAAATATTAGTTTTGAAAACATAATATACTTTCTATGGTCGCTGTTTGTACGAGTGGCCCAAGGCGCTAGAATTACTCCCTGTTCCTCATAGGCGCAGGTTCGAATCCCATTACAGTGATCTTCTTTTATTTTTTTCTTAATTTTTTTCACTAAGGTTCACCAATAATATATCTCCACCTGGCGCTGTCAACCAATAGAAGATGTCCACGAGGAGAAACCAGCGAGACCCAACGATGTCGTTTCGAGTAAGAGAACCTTCATTCACGTCTAGAGGTTTTTTAACCTTCACTTGCATTACCCCTCTTGAGGACCGATCGTTCCGACTCACCTGAAGAGAGATTCAAATTCAACAATGGTGACGAATCCATCGAATCTCTCGCCCTTTCTCCTCCTCCTTGTGTTAACACTATCATCGTCTCTATATTTCTCTTTGGCCGATCAAGATTCCGATTCAGATCTCATCGCCGAGCTTGTTTCCCTCCGATCCGCCGCCGAATCCGGTGTTATCCGCCTCAATGACCACCTTGTCTCCCAATTCCTCACCTCTGTTTCCGCTCCTCGTCCTTACTCACTCCTCATCTTCTTCGACGCCGTTCAGCTCCACAACAAGCAGGAGCTCCGCCTCCAGGAGCTCCGCCGTGAGTTTTCCATCGTCTCCGCATCATTCGCTGCAAACAACAACGGATCCGACGCCGGCAAGCTTTTCTTTTGCGAGATCGAGTTCTCGCAGTCCCAGTCTTCGTTCCAGCTATTCGGCGTCAACGCGCTTCCTCACATCCGCCTCGTGGGTCCTTCCACGGTCAATCTCCGGGATGAATCGGGTCAGATGGACCAAGGGGATTACTCCCGTTTGGCGGAATCCATGGCGGAATTCGTCGAGCATCGGACCAAGCTCACGGTCGGTCCACTTCACCGACCGCCGCTCCTGTCGAAGACCCAGATTGGTATCATTGTAGCATTGGTCACGATCTGGACTCCGTTTGTCATCAAGAGGGTTCTCAAAGGGGAAACTCTTATCCATGACCGGAGGGTCTGGTTAGCGGGCGCCATTTTCGTCTACTTCTTCAGTGTCGCTGGCACGATGCACAACATCATCAGGAAAATGCCCATGTTCCTCCAGGACAGGAACGATCCGACACGGCTAATCTTCTTCTACCAGGGTTCAGGTATGCAGCTTGGTGCCGAGGGATTCGCGGTCGGGTTCTTGTACACTGTGGTTGGATTGCTCCTGGCTTTTGTCACCAATGTGCTTATCCGAGCGAGGAATGTTACTGCACAGAGGTTGGTTATGCTTTTGGCTCTGTTCATATCCTTTTGGGCTGTGAAGAAGGTGATTTCCTTGGATAACTGGAAGACTGGATATGGAGTCCACCCATATTGGCCTTCCAGTTGGCATTGATCGATCTTATGAGCTATAATATGTTAGGTAATGGATCCCTCCTTTCAAAAGTTTTCAGATTGAACAATGTTTGTGGGCATACGATGTTTTCCTTGGATAGTACAATACCAGACCGTTCCTTGTTAAAGGCACTGAATTTCAATTAGTTATCCATCTGGGTATGAGAGGTATAATCAAGAACGTGGACTAAAGAGGTGGTGAAACTCTAGGATACCATAGTGTTCACTGTTATGTCTCCTCTTCGAAATTGTGGTTGTTGCAGAGTGTTTCATGCTAAGGAAGAGAGATATTTAGCCTAGAGCATACCAGAAGAATGCCTTGGTAGGATGCCTAGTTTTGTGAATGTATGCCTGTTCTAAGATATCTAGATATAATCTTGCTACCACCTTTCCATCTAATGGTATCGTTGAATGCTTGCATGATGTATCTTCACTTCCATTAAAAAAATCTAGTTGGACTTAGTTTTTTTCTCCATTCTCATCCTTAGTTTGGTCTGTTGAATAGATAAAACACCTGCATTTGTTGCATACTCTTTGTTTCTTAGTCATGGAATAGAACTGTGTAAAAAGTCCGAAACCCAATAATGTGGGTCAAAGGTGAAGTCAGGATGATGATCTGGGGTTTGAGAATAAACCTTATTCTGTTTCTTAGGAGATGTTATTTCTCCTTTTGCTCGCTCTGATCCAAGTTTCGTAGGTGTATAAGTGATTTAGCAGTGGGAAGAGTCGCTTGCAGGTTGCAGGGTTTAGGGCTAAAGGTATAGTGGTGATGAAAGAGATCTGCATCAATGCAGATTAGCATAGTGACCTGAATGGCAGTGGGAAAACCTTGAGGAGGGTATCCACAGGTTACCCGGACAGCGAGGTCGAGTTGAAAAGACGAGACACAAACACGGAAAATGAGAGAGGAGATTGATTAAGAGACTAGGTGAGGTGTCGGAAGCCGGTCGAGACGGCTCAGAGGAACCTTAACTCTAACTCTAACCTTAGGTGACAGAGGCGAGGCATCAGAACAATGGTGACAAGGAACACCAAACTCTAACCCCAGACGACAAAAGCGAGTCTGGTATCTACAGGGTATCAATTTTGGTTCGAGTCCATCCAAAAACTATCGGGTTTAAATTTGTAGGCCTAAAAAACTCTGTGCTTTCAACCCAAACTCAAATCGGGTTTTGGACTGATCTAAAAGTCCTATTTAATTTTGTTTTAAAAATTAAATGCGAAAGAATAATGGATGCACAAATCATGTATTAAAATGGATCGGCCTGACCCGTTTCGAAACCGAGTCTTATAGGACTAGGTTTTGAACTTGGTTCTATAGATCCGAAAAATTGTCGGAGTTTCAATCTGGAACCTTCAGATTGAGTGCGGGTTCGGGCTATGTGCATGTGAATATGAATTATCATCGATAGTCATCCGTCGAAGTCGGATTCTCAGTGTTGTTGAACTCTAACTTGATTTCCGGTGAAACGAGTATTCGAAAAATTGAATATCTTACTCGTGGATTGAGAAATATTTAAATCTCGAATAAGATCAAGATTGTAAAAGTCGGCATGGCATCCCCACTTGCATATCTACCAACTCTATCGAGGTACCTTTTTGTTGTCTAATGTCATCTCACTTGTGAACGCTCACATGAGACAAATCTGATCCACGACAGCCACCACATGCGTACCATGATGTCTCGCATCACTCCGTCGTGTATTTTGCAAATCAATCATATCATTTACGTTAGGATCCCACACTTTTTTTTTTCTGTAACTCGATTTATATAATATTGTGGGATATATATGATGGAAGAGTACGAAGAATCACGAGAGAATTCGAGGACCTTTGTCACGTGAATCGCCTCACTTTTTTCCACCAAACACCCGCGACTTGTGTAGTGGAACTTAGTCAAAATCAGTGATCTTTCACTGTCTATGAATTTTAGGGTTTCTTGTCTATAGATTGAACGTCAAAAGAAATCTATGATTTGAAATATTTACGGATTTAATGTGATAAGATCACGTTTTCTATTTTTTATTTTTCCAAATAAGAAGAAACATAGTTGTGTTTAAAAAAATATAAAATATAAAGCTCTGCATGATTTTTGCCGTGGTTAAATAAAAACCAGGAGCGGAATCAGGGAAGAAATGGACCCCACCCCCAATTTTACGTCTATTTTAAATACAGCCACATGCATATTTTTCTCTCTATAATATATGTATATATATTAATTAAAATTTAAAAAATTCATATATAGATATCTAAAATTTTTTTAAAAATCCAAATAAATTAACGAATTATAAAACTTTTATATAAATATCTAAATTTTTAAAAAATTCTATATAAATAACTAAACTTTTTAAAAATTTATCAAATAAATCCAAAATTAAGATACTTTTCAAATAAAAATAATCGATATTATTAACGAATTATGTGTTTATTTAGAAAATTTTCAAAAGTTTAAGTATTTTTATAGGATTTTAAAAAATTCAAATATTTATAGAAAAGTTTTATAATTAAGATATCTATTTGGAATTTTTATAAAAGCTTAGATATATATTTAAATACGAGTTTTTTTTAATTTATATTAAAAGAACATGTGCATCGGTATCATCATTTTAAGGTATATATTAATGGGATTTGCCTTCTTTCTGTTCACCTTTTCCAAAAAGATGAAAATAATTGATGAGACCAGCCACTACACGTTCTAATAATTGATAATACTTTAGACAAAATTATGTATGATATGTATAGTAAAATATTTCTATTTTAGTATCCATTTATATTCCCACCATGCTTTAACGCCAACCGAGCACGTTCATATAAACCTGCCAAAACACCCATAAACAAATTCTGGTTCGTTTTTTTTTATATAAAGAATGTTGAATTTATAATCTTTTACCTTTGTTTTCTCACTCTTTTTTATTTTTTATTTTCATCCAAAATTAAAAAAAAATCTGTTAAAATATTTTAATATCATTTAGAAAAAAAAACATTTTAATATATTTGTAATCTCAATTCGTATATGCATAAACTCTTTTTTCGACGATACATATCTTTCTCCACATTTGTTTTTAAAGAATAAATTCCAGTGTTATTATATATGTTAATAAAGAATAAGATCACGAGTAGATCTGCACATTTGTTTTTTATAATTTTTTACTGTTCTTTGGAAAAAAGTAGGAAATTAACAATGATCTCACCCAATAGGCTCCATCAACTTGCAAATTAACGATTAAACTGGTAAAAAGTGATAATGAAAATAATTATATATTATCGATTAATGCATATAGGTGCAAGGATAAGGGAAGGACAATGTATTGGAAAAACAAGTTCAAAGAATACGACCCACTTGAAGGCATTCATCATGACAAATCTTCTATAAAAGAGGCAAGGGTGGGGAGTGAAGACCCAACAAGCAAAAACACGATCACCAACGATGTCTTCCGCAGACCATCCTCTCCTTGACAAACCAAAGTCCCTTAACCACAAGAATCTTTGTCTTGCTCTCTCCTTTGTAGCCATTCTTTCCTCCTCGGCTTTCATCACCTTTCAACTTGTCACTATCCGCGCGACCAATGGATACTTAACCACCGCCCAAATCTGCCAAGGAGCTCATGACAAAGACTCGTGCCATTCCCACCTTTCAGAGCTCGAAACTTCCCCTGCTTCTCCCCTCTCCAAGCTCAAACGCCTCGGTCTGATGCACGGTTTCTTGAAGAGCTCTGTCTCGCGTCTTGAAAACGTCATGGAAGCCGTGAACGAGGCCAAAAACCGTGCGAACAGGGCGAGAGATTTCGCGGGTTTGGCGGATTGTGAGGAGCTTTTGGATGTATCAAAGGATAGGATGGTGAATTCCATGGAGGAACTCAGAGGGAACCCTAGTTTCCTGTCCTACTCGAACGTTCATTCTTGGCTGAGTAGCGTCCTCACAAACTACATGACGTGCTTGGACGGGATCAACGACTCCATCGAAGCCAAACGGGAAGTCGAACCAAAGCTCGAGGACTTAGTGTCAAGAGCAAGAGCGGGTTTAGCACTCTTTGTTTCCATCTCCCCATCCGAAACCGACATGATAAAGACTGTTTCCGGGGAGTTTCCGAGGTGGTTAACCGCT